TTATATCACAGCCAGTACACACTGAGTCTATTTAGACGTGTGGGTTTTCTCTTGATACAAAAGATGGTGCTGAATTATCAAAAGATTGGGTTGTGGGAAACACGTATGCTTATGGGTTTTTTTAGATTCTTTCCAAACTGCTAAGTGATTAAAACTCTCCCCCCGCGCCCCCTGTCAAGAGTGCATATTTTAAACTATTGCATCATTGCTTTAAGTACATGGCACAATTCCACAGTGATGCTTTCAGTGTCTCACTCGACAGCATTGAACAGTTTTTTAAAGATATTTGATTCATAAAACTGAAGGATGTATTGGCAGCAATATACAGAATTACATAGTGTATTTCTCCCCCAAATATTCAGCCATAAACCCTCTTGTAGCCAAGCTATGGCAACATCCACCTCCCAGACGAGGATGTCACATGCCTTTCTAAAAGGTCACACCACTCACACAAGCTTCTCTAGCCTGAGAAGGCAAACAAAACAGCTCTGCAAAGAGATGTCACCAATGTTTGTCTATTGACTACTGAATATTCATAGTGAAACAGTGTGGTAACTGCCCAGAGACACTGATCGCCAGATGTTCTCAGCTCCTACGAAGGAACTGATATTCTGCCCACTCTCAAGGTGTTAGCTTTTATTCATATCAGCCCACACTTGTGGAACCTCTGTGTTTTGGACATCCTCAGCGGATCAAAGGAGTCCTGGTTCTTGCAGCTGGGCCCCCCTTTATCTGAGAAATTCAACACCTGCAGATCTTCTGGATAATCTAAGCAGAGTTTGCCATTTATGATGGTAAAAGAGCACTTGGCCATGATTTCAGATTTCCCAAGAAAGCCTGAGGTGCCTGAACAGCAACAGCCTTTGCGTCCACATGCTTGCTTTGACTGGTAAAAGGAAGGACTCCTCAAATTTTTCCTTAAAAAGGAAATGATTAAACAATTCAGGTATTCATTACTAACCAAGCATGGTTTCCTTCTTCCTCTGGTCAGGTCATCTGTGCTTTCAAGAGCTGTTTCTGTACCTCGGCCTTTTCCTCCGCAAGGCTCTCCTGTCTCAAACACATTAGCCCTGGAGAGGCAAGCAGAGCCACAGCCCACAGGGGAAGACAGACAAGAAACAGCAACTTTCCATGTGAGATTGGCAGAGGAATAACTGAGGCGAAGCAGTTCCTGTCAGCATACAGAAAGTGATAATCCCATGCATTTTTGTATTCTTTGCATTGTCGTGTAACCTTCATCAATAGCGTATAAAGCTCCAAAAACCAATAAGCAAAGCTGGATGTGAATAGACTGTCTCTGGTTGGAGTGGGCCATCAGCAAACCCAGACTACAGTTGCCAGTGCTGCTATAGAGGAGTAGAGGGTTGCTTCCACCACCAGTATACTAACTCTGGCTACAGCATGAGAAATACAAGCAGAATCAAAGGCCAGGCTGCTAATAACTCAGGTGTTGCAGCCCTGCAATGAGGGGCAAAGTTGTTTGCTGCAGGATTCAGTGGGGTGTCTTTGCTTGCCATCCCTTGTAATTTTACGTGTCCTCATTGAGTCAGGAGAAGGAAGCTAACGGGATCAGGAGAGCTACAAGTCTAATCCAGGCAGAAGTTCTGAGAAGACTTTCAGTTAAGTACATTTTTCCACTTTGTTAAAGTTTCTTGTTCAATACAAAGAGGAAAACGGAAGAAAAAATGTTGCTTTTCTGATTCTTTATCACTCTCACATAATAGCATTTGTGAACTTAACATATATCCTAGTGTCTTGGTTTTTCTTTTATATAATGCTGGGAAAGACTCCAAGGCTTAAATAAAAATCTTACCTTGGCTCTCGAGCTTGGCAGGCTTTTGCTTCTAATACAACACAGATCACAGGGTTGATTTTTGGCTCTCCTACCTGAAATTAAGTTATTCTCTAACACATGTTTCTGTTAATTACAAAAGCATTATATTCTTGTCACATAACTTCATGAAGTTGGGAAGGTGCCTCAGGTAACAGAATGGCATCTTTTTGTACCAACTTTCATATCATAAACAGTCCTTTTTGATACCATCAGAGTCAGTAGCTAATTATAGAATTGTTTAGGTTGGAAAAGACCTTTAAGATCATCCAGTCCAACCATTAATCTAACATTACCAAGTCCACCACTAAACCAATTCAGGGTAGAGTAGCAATTTTGTGTTTCCTGGCTTGGTGGCTGGATTAATTTTTAATGAAAGTGAAAACTAGGAATCATTAAGGTTGGGAAGGATCTCTAAGATCATCAGTCCAACCATCAACCCAACACCACCATACCCACTAAACCATGTCCCAAAGTGCCACATCTACCCATTGTTTGGACACTTATAACACCCTTTTTTTGAACATGTGTAAGAGAAGGAAGCTAATGAGTCTCCTTTGCTTCTAGTGTCCATTATAGCAAAACAGCCACAGAAGAACTTGCCCACACCAATAAAATTCCTACCAGCCTGTTTCTCCTGGGCTGGCTTATAAAAGTCAATCCACTGCATGCAACCCCTATGACTACAGGCAGGTCATTGTCTCCCGAGTTTGCCACAAGTACCAAAGATTCCATCAGTGCCTCTGAACCCCACCCTAAGGCAACTTCTGCTCCAAGCTCAGAGTCTCTACTGTTGTTTGCATTCAACTTCCCTTTGCACAGCTCTTCTCCACACCAGGATTTTGTGGGGCGTTTTCTTTCCCCTTGCTTTCTTGACTGCTGGAGGAATTGGGGTAGAAAGTCACACTAAGATCACCTTTCAGATGCAACATGATTAATTCAGAAAGCAGCACCTGCCATCTTCCTGGGTGTGATCTTCCCAGGTGCTGACACTCTGGAAATGCCAGGACACCACTCTGGGCTCAGATGAGGGCTACATACATCAGCCTAAACTCTTTTGAAAACATGAACACCTACTTTGGTACCTCAGGGAGTACCAAGTTATTTTTAGAATCTAAGGACTTACACATGCAGAAGCAGAGCACACAAACACCAACTACACTGATTTTAACTGTTCAGTCTCATGAGAGGAGAGGGAATATGACGCGCATTCCAGGGAAGGCAGTCCCACAGCCAAGGCTGTATTCAAGAGAAGTCAACTGAGATGGAGAGCATCACACTGACAAGGAAACCACCTCCACAGCAGTCCCTTTGCTTAAGCTGGAGGTAGGGAAGGAGGTCACCCCTTCCTGGGACTATTTTTCCCCCACTCCCCTGGCCCCTTTATGGGGCAGAGCTCAATCTTGCAGAACCTGTTTTCCAGGAGACATTAGCCTGCCCCACAGTCCAGCTGGTCAACTTGAATCCATCTTTGCTCCTATGAAGCAGAAATGTGCCTGGTTCCTTGCAAACCTGAGTAACAATCCAGGAGGAGCCTGGACCTGCTCTCCCAGCATCAACGCTGCTCCTACTGCAGACTCTCAGAGATCTGTCCACCGACTCTTTGTGGAGAAAAAGGGCAAAAGCAAGGTTCAGTAATTTAAAAACTAAACAACAACAAAAAAAAGGTGACTGTGAAAACCACCTATAAATAGAGCATCAAGTCCTGCTGTAAGCTCACAATATAGCTGGACTAAAAATAGCAATATGACAAGACAAAGCAGTGCAGCACTGGTGTTGATATGATCAGCAATGTCAAGAGTATGAATATAGAAAATAATAAGACTTTGCTACAGTAATTATCTGCTTAACACAGAACAATGTGGAATACATATAGAAACCTTATTGCCAGAAAGGCTCCTACTCCCACATTTCCATTAAAAGAAATGGAAAAAAACCACAGAAAATTAAACTATAGAAGGAAAAAAACCCTCTTTTTCTTTTTTCTTAGATATGGTGGTATTTTTCTGGTTTGCCTTTTGTTATATGACACACTCATTTTCTTAAGTGAAGGACCTGACCAGAATGGATCTCAGGCTGTGCATCTCCTGTACACTTGGTCAAAAGGTCTAGCAGCACAAGTGGGATTATGTGCTCACATAATGCAGCGAGGCCCAATGAGAATCTTAAAGAGACTAAACAAATGCTGTAAGGATCGGGGGGGGCGGAAAAACCCCATCCCCTCCAGTTCCTGTTTATGCCAGCTGATTGCTGTTTTCCTAGTATATAATTCTCACTCCACTCACACTGGCTGTATTATAGAGCAATCTGGGCACCTACACTCAGAAGCAGGTCACAAAGGAGTAGATGAACACAAGTCTGTGCAAAACAGTTATTTCCCAGTGCCATACGCTCCCTCTGTGACACAAGCAGTAACCAGAAAGCTCGTGAATGCTTTCAGCATTGAAAGTGGGCAGCACTATCAGACCAAAGCAGAGTTCTTGGGGTACACATGGCTGGATTGCCTCCTTAGACTGACACCGCAAGGCAGCTGCCCTATTTGTGGCAAGCACTCCTTCCTAAAAGCTTTTCAGAAAGCAGGCTTGAACCGCATGGAGTCTTCCTAGCATCCGCAAACAGAGCACAACATGCCTGCTACCAAACACCGTGGTGTGGGTCAACATATACTGTGTGGTTTTTGGTTATATGATAAATTACTCTATAGAACAAAAAAGCATAGAAATAAAATTTGCTTTAACTGCTCATTTAAAAATCATGTTCTTTTGGAACTTTACCAGTTATTTGGTGATTTCCTATGTACTAGGAAATCTCAAAGATCAGTTCATCATCTTCAAGAATAACCAGTAACCAAGTTAAATATTGGAAAAGAATTATGAAGTTTAACACAAGCAAATTTGACTGGGTAACTATAAAGGCATGTAATCTGAAGGAACTGTGGTGCTTCCTTTGCCAGATGTAGATAAAAACTATAGAAGTTTGTTACCTTTAAACTTGTATTTTACGCCATATAAAAACACTTGGTCTTTTACCATTCTGCCATTCAATTACTTGATGTCACACAGCATTCCCATTCTTTCTTTTTTCCTTGAAAACCCCAAAACACCATACAACATAAATTCCTTGGTCCGAAAGCTCAGAATCTCATGGAGAAAAATAAGCATGTACTTACGACCAGAGAGAGTTTCTTCCTTGTGTGATGACTCCAGTGAATTTTGTTAGCCTTCGAGCATCTACTTCAATCCACTGATATGGGTCATTTCTTCCTGCACACCAAGCACCATCATAAAAATCATTTTCGTTAACACCTGCCTGAAAAGAAGGCAAAACTGTGTTCATAAATCAGAACCAAGAAACTGAAAGTCTTTCATGGGAAAAAGAAAAGAAAACATGAAGTCATTATTCATTCCACTTACTCCTTTGGCTCTGTTTTAAGACCCCTGGGACTGTCATTCTCAACAGCTATATGGAGCAAACAAAATATTTTCTTACTCGAAGCAGGGAGGGGAATTGTGCAAAGTCCCTTCAAAAGCTAAGAACCATTACATATAAACTTAAGTTAGAGTGAGAGAGCATAAACAGAGCTTCAGTCAGTCCACCTGTCTGTGTCCTGATAGAGCATTCATCCAGAACAAATTATCCACATGGTCTGCAGAGTTATGAAAGTCCTAAAAAGCCATCTTCAACCCATGTAAATAATGGTCAGTGCTGGAGGACTCTGTCCCCCAGAAGCAGCAGAGTGTAGGGCATATGGAAAGATTAATACCATTTCCCACCAATATTCAATCCCAGAATTATTAATTTTCTTCACTAGGGATATTCAAGCCTTAAGCAAATTAATACCAAAGGTCAAAAACTTAGGAATACCCAGCTGTACTCTAACTTATGTGGCAATCTATATCACAATTTATGTTAGCAAGAACCCCACAAACAGTCTTCTCAACATTTTCAAAGAAATAGCTGCAAGGTATTTTGAGCAAGCTGTATTCTAAATACATCTGAAATAGCATTCAAAGAAACATAGCATCTGAGGTCTTCAGATATTTATCTTACTACTAAAGCCCAGGAAATGTTTGGCACCAAGCTGGCTGCTGCCATAGAGAGCACAGAAGCTTTTCCATATGGTCCTCTGAGGCTATGTATATTTTTGTATTTCATCTGTGTTTAACATAGGCTTATCATTGCCATCCACACAATTCAAAGAATTAATATCCTTAAATATTTCCCAAATATAAATGGAGATTCTGGAAGTTTGTAAGTTTACATTAAAGACACATCTTAAAGCTCTGGTGTGCAGCTATTATCTGTTCGGTGGTATATTTTCAGTTGGTGTGTGTATATACAAAACATAAATGAAGGACCCAAGAATACAACTGTCAATTAAATTTCCTGAATTATCCCTCAGCTCCCCACTGAGCAGTATTAGCAGATATTACAGTCATAGCTGGGTTACAATGGCACAGATTGATAGGTCTGCCTGCCTCCATTTTTACGGACAGCTTCTACCCAAATGGGCACCAGGTGGGTCTAATTCACAAGGAGAGGATGCACTTGTTAATCCCTTTTCCCAATGTGAGGCAGGTGGCATCTGAAGTGCTGCAAAACAATTTAATTTATTCCTAAATTCCTACAGCTGCTTGTTTTCTCAGGTATTCAAATCTGAGATAGGGTAGCTTAAAAATTACTTGTTTTCCTGCATCTACCAAATTTAGGTTAAGCCATTTGTATTTATTAACTCTGCTATTTTAAAGTTAAGTTTGTATAACAGCCAAGGTACAAGATACAGAGAAAAACTATTAACAATGGAAGATAAGTTCTTCGAGGAGAACTGAACAATGGGAAAACATGAGAATATAAATATGATCACTGACCTGAATTATAACCTTTTTCAAGAAAAGGTTTCAATGCATTTTAAAATAAGATGGAATTTGAAGTAGCCTTAGGGTTTAAAACCAATGCTTGCCAGGAAGCGTTAAGATCTGCAGAACACCTTGAACCAGTGTCATGCTAATCCCCTTCACACTGATGAAATTCCACCCATTTCTGCAGACCAAGTACCCATATCTCTCATTGCTTCAGCTGGCATCCTTGGTCCTCATTCAGATGGATGATATTTCTCATTGGTGTGGTGCTCATCAGGGTGTAGAGCTCTCCTCTACTTTACAGTAAGAAGAGGGAAGCAGAGGAGAGAAAAAAAGAGCTTATCTGCAAACCCCCCCCTTAAGTTAGACACTCAAGTCTCCATGGTTTCAACAGGACTTAAATAAAGCTAAGCATGTGTTTAAGCTGTATATTAAATATAGGGAGTCTAAAGGGCATGCTTACAGTTACGCGCAACTTAAAATACTATAGGCTTAAATAGTGGCAAAGAGAGCATAAAAGTAAAAAGAAACTGTGCTGCTACTTCTTCCTGCTCTCTTATTTCCTGACATCACCTTCTCTGAAGCTAAAAGGATATTTTTACTAGGTAGAAAACAAGTGTCTGTGTCTAACTATCACAGAGTACTACTAAAAAAAAAAAAAAAAGAGACCATTTTAGTCAATGAGAAGTTCTCATTAGAAATATTTCCAAAGGAAAGGAATTCCAATAAATTTGTGTTGAAATGTCTCTTTTCAAGTTTCAAGTCTATATTTTTTCTTAAGGTGCTTGAAGTTTTGAATTTGCCTTATGGCCACTTCAAAATATTGTTTCTATAAAAACCCCTTATAAATCAAATATTGAGTAGTTAAAATTGCTATTAAATTTCTTTGGAAAAATTTTCTTTCCTGAAAGATGAGAACAGTTATCATCAAATATTCAGTCAAAGAATATAGATAAAGATACCTTTTTGTCAGTAAGATGTTTACTTGAATTTAAAAATTGTATATTGAATTAACAGAGATAATGGATTCAAGTTATGACATACATGACTTTAAGCTATACATTTTAAACACATTATCTTCATAAGTAGGAGAGTGAAGGAGCTAATGAAAACTGGAAGTAAGGACTAGGTCTTACACAAATCCTTTTTTTCTTCTCTGCATTTTTAAGAATAACTCAGCTTATATTTCACTTGCAGCCAAATGCAAAAACAATTCTCCATGTGCAATGTCTTATGAAAAAAATGCTTATGAAAAAAGGGAGTTTTTTCTGTCACTCCTGAATAAGTTATCTATAGATGTGAATGTTGAAAATTGTAAATAAAATAAAACATATCAACTGCTTATTATGTACCCAGGAGCTAAGGTGAAGGAAAATCTAAAGGTTAAGATTCCTTTACAAATGGTATGACTTCCCATTTTAATTAAAGTTTTTCTCTTCTGAATTAGACATGTGCAACACAGCACTTGCACACATTACCTCTGTTCCAAAAGCCTTATTCCATAGTGAGGAGAAAGCTATTACTGCCTAAGTGTATCCAAATGAAGCCAGAAATTTCAGTCTTCTGCCACAAGTCAGCTGGGCAGCAGTAAAAATATACCTAATATCAAACCACTTCTGCTTAAATTCTTCTCCACTCCCAGCATAGTGATTACAAACTTTATTTTACCATAGGAAATTTGGGAGGAGGGAAAAAAAAAAAAGCATTACTCATCACAGGTATTTATAGCAACAACTGCCAGTAGAGAAGAGAAAAATTAAAGCACACAGGCTGAAAGTAAAACTTCAATAGTTTTGTCTGTTGCTTGTGTTTTGATAATGGAGCTTTTCAAAAGGAACTAGTGAAACAGAGAACTGCAAAGACAAAAAGCAATACATCCTGCTTATTTGCATAAGCATGATTACATTACTTGGTTAATCTTCTGTGCTGTTTGGATTTCTCCAACCAGGAAAATGAGGAAGGGGAAGAAACATAATTTGACTAATTATTTCAGGTTTAACCACTGCTAATTATTGTATAAGTGACAAATACTAATGAATTTTATCCCTGAAGGCAGAGCACCTCAATGAATATTATTTTATGCTACGATTTTTCCTCATGATGTTAAATTACTACTGGTTGTGCCACTATTGAGGTTGCAAGCTAGATCTCCAATAAACCGGGCTCTGGTAGCGTTGCTCCTGCGCTCAAGCGGTCCCAGCTTCATCACCACACTCACACAGCACTGGGAGCAAAATCAGGTCCCACACAGCGTAAGGTCACGAGAGAAGCAGATCCTAGAAGGTCTTATCCGGTCCTGCTAAGCCTGGCCTTCTTTGGAATAAGGTTTGGAATAAGCCTGGGGGGTTGGGCTAGATGATCTCTCAAGGTCCCTTCCAACCCAAAGCATTCTATGATTCAATGATTAGTTTCATACACTTCAAATAATCTAAACAGAAAAAAAGACCAACCCTCAGAAGCCTTTGAAAAACTTCATTATTTGGCGAGTTCCCTGTGAACTGAGGTAGTGCCAGTTACCTGGGGTGAGCCCTAAGCGCTCAGCTCTCGCATCCAGACGACGATGTTGAGCGGAGAGTGGATTTTGTCTTATTTCAAGGAGGCACACAACAGTCACATGAACGCTGTGATGGCACTGTGGTGATACCCAGACCACGCCACAGGCACAGCAGCCCATAAAATTGCTCATCGCCATACTTATAGCATAGGGCTCTGGTGAAACCGCAGCGGCACATCAACCTTCCTGACTCAGGCCGAGTGTTTTTCTTCACGTACGGCACTAACCAGCATGAAAACACGGCTGCTTAAATACCAGTGCCTTTTGCCTTTCCCCAGCATGCCGCAACCTGCCCTTCTGAGCAGCAAACAGAAATCACCGGGGACCTCATTACCCATCTGACACGTCAGTCCCCTGTGGCACCTATTCTGGGTTAGAAGCATATATCTTTTAACTGCGACTGAAATTCAGCAGTCTTAGGGCAAAGTAAAATTAAGCGCCGAAATCCAAGCGACGGGGAAGAGGTCTGCAAATTCTAAGTGGCTTTGAAAAAATTTTAAAATGTTGTTAATTTTAAGCTAATCCCAAGGGAAGCAGTAGCTAAAGAAAAATAAATGCAAGCCCATACTTTTAACACTGCCAGTCATAGTGGTAACTCTAAGTGGTCAGGGGGTTTAGGGAATTGCTCTATCTGTAGTATACAGATAAGCTTTCACTAAGTGTAAAAAAGCCTTTGATTCGAGGATTACTAGAAATCCTCATTAGAGGTAAAGATATAGCAGAAAAACAAAAAAAAGGGCACATTTAAACAAGAAAAGTAAGCCAGAGAAGTCACTTTGCTATAAGCCAGCTTTTGTTGGGTTATTCGTATATGAGCCTCCCACAGCCCTGGGATCAGGTAAGTCCCTATACCAGAAAAGAGTTAAAACAGCCTTTGGATAATAAGGAGAATCAATCCATACAGAATTCCTACAGCTCAAGAAAATGACAACATGAAAGTCTGTATCAAGCAGAAGCATGACATTGTGAAGCCTTTGTTTGCAGCAAAAAAAGGCACCATCATTTGAACAAAGAAAAGTAAAAATGTAATTTGCACAGGACACAACGTCCTTTCACCCGAGACTCTGCACAGCACTCCAGGGAGGGGCGAGAGCCCCCGTGCTGCAGAGGCGAGGACATTATTCTCACAATAAACGCAAAAGAAACCGCTGCCACAGAACTGGCAGAAGCATTACGGCTATAACCGGCAGGGCCCAGGCGTGGCTGCTACCCCGCAGGTGAAGGCGGGATGGGAGAAGCGGGGGCCCTGAGGTCCTAGGGGACAGGACACCAAAACAAGTGCACTTGGTCTAATGCGAACCCCAGCAGCTTTGGGGAAGGAAGAGCTGAGGGGCACCTCGCTTCTGCTTGCTTCCCAGCAAGAGGCTGTGCCCTTAGCTTCTGCTGGAAGCTCTGGATTATGTTTAGGGGAAACATCATCCACAGGTAAGACTCTTACACGTCTCTATTTATTTTAATGCAGTGTTACTGGTGACGGCAGGACACCGGACTAGATGGACTCCTGGTCTAAACCAGCATGGTCATTGGGGACAATCTTTTTAGCAAGGCTTGTTGGGACAGGACAGGGAGTGATGGGTTTAAACTACAGAAGAACAGATTTAGACTGGCTATAAGGAAGAAATGTTTTACAGTGAGGGCGGTGAGGCACTGGAAGGGGTTGCCCAGAGAGGCGGTGGAGGCCCCATCCCCAGAACCATCCCAGGCCAGGCTGGCCGGGGCTCTGAGCACCCTGGGCTGGTTAAAGCTGTCCCTGGCACTGCAGGGGCTGGGCTGGGGGGGCTCTGAAGGGCCCTTCCCACCCAAAACATTCCGTGATTCATTCTTGTGTTTAAATAAATTGGACTTTAACACCAGCATGAAAAATGAGAAACCACAACCGCCAAAGAATTCAGATGTTTGCATCACATTCCTTGGTCTTATGTGACTATATAAACAAAACAGTAATAAAATAATTAAACTTTCCTATAGAACCCACCTGAATATCACCTGCATACCATTTTTGTGTTCATGAGGTGGTGGTTTATTTTTTTTTTTCCTAGCAGAGAACATGAAGTAAAGCAGCAAACCACCTCACTCAGACCTCCAAAGGAATTAACTGTGAAGGCTGCAGGTGAGACCTCACCTTGCACCGGGCGCTGTACCCGCGCACTGGCTTGGAAAGGAAGAGCCTGTTCCCACCCCCGTGCTGCCTGCGGGCTCCTGCCACTCACCTCCCGCTGGCTCTGTGGCTGCATAGCCAAGTGGTTGACTGAGCTTTTGGACCAAATTAATTTTTTGGACCAAAATTAATTCCTTTAAACAAAAAAAAAAAAAAGGGAAGGGGCAATTTTTCCCCCTGTAGAGAAGTTCACAGAGCTGTTTGTGCACTAGAAGAAGCTGAAGCAATGCAGGGCAGCTGCACCATGGGGTTTTTAACCAAGAGTGATCAAGTGATCCCTCCTTCCAGCAGCTGCCCCCCATTACACTGCAGTGGGCACCATGTGAAATTGCACTGCTGATTAGAGCTCATCCTTCCTAGGCCCAGTCATAGTTCATTAACTAGCAAAGGCCTTCAGCTGGAGAAAAAAAAATATTTAATGGCGTGCCTAATAATGAATGGTAACTAATAAATTAAATAAACTTTAGAAATTTTTCTCTGCTGGTTTGTTGCTAGTATCCTGTTTATGACTTTGAGTTTCAAATGTTGTATTTTATTACGCAAAAGTAACATTTTTACACTGGAAAAGACTGTAATTCAGAAAACAGCCCTAATAAAGTGGAAAACAGAAACACAAGAAATGGGAAAAAAATTGAAAAAATTTGGTCCTGCAAAGTATCTAAGCACATCTGTAATATTAAATAAAAGAAGCTGAAACAGATTGTATGGTAGCGACTTCTGAATGGAAGCATTTTTGGAAGCATAATCACTGCCTCTGAAAAGCTGCCTTAGGGCAAGCGCTTCACTTAAAACCACACTTTCAATTAACCATTGTCATTAACTACAGGCAAAAAAAACAAAAAAGCAACTTGCTGTGTGAGCTTCCTTCCAGGCTGATTGTTAAGGGAGCAGGGAATATTTCCCACAGCTGGGAAGGGAGCATTTCTGGGCTGCCTCCACCTTTGCTTGCTCACAGAGGTCTGCTTGGATTTGCATCCTCAGCACACAAAGTTTGGAGTTTTTTCTAACTAAGCCCCACGAATCTAAAGGTTATCCATCAACCTTAGTCACTTCTGTAATTCCAGTGTTTCTCCTTCATTTGAATTACATGAGCTGACAAAGTAGTCAGAACCAATAACCATCCTTTGGTTCTCTTTATACAAGAGTACAACCTTAAGCCATTCTCCAACTTAGGAGGAAAATTGATGTTACCTGAATGTTAAGCCTTCCTCTGTGGGCCCCAAGGCCATACCGCTTTGCTGTAGAGGCATGGAGCTGGAAGTCAGTAATTTTTAATGTCTCTAGACCAAGTGGAGGACAATCTACAAAACAAAAGATTGATTAAAATTTAATTAAAAAAAAAAAAAAAACCCACCACCACAAAACAAACAAGTATTCAAAGTTTCTGGATTTCACTTGTGCCAAACTGGCTGGGGTCCTCAGCTGGTATATATGAGCACAGCACCGCTGAAGTCAATCTGAAATGGCAGCTCTTATAAAATCAATGAAGCAATGCTGATTTACACCAGCTGAGGATCTGGCTTTTTGAGGGTCTCGGTTATTACTGCTTGCTATATGCTTCACTGTTTCATGGATATGCACAGTATCTGCTGTCAAATGCTTTTCAGTACAAAATGCCAGTAAAATGACCTTTTATTTTCCTATCTTTTTGGCATTTTCTTTTTCATCTCTTGTTTTGATTCCCTTCCCCCCCCACCCGTACTCATTCCAAGCTACTGTATGAAGTTATGTTTCTAATTAAAATCTGTTCTGGAAGCTTCAATCACAGTCCCTCGCATTGCACAACAGCATCTGTTACAGAGATCTGGGAGGCTGGACAGCCGAGCTCTGCAGAGGTAATGACTAAGCACAAAGAGGACAATTTTGAAACAAGAGGCCATCTCTCTAAGCTCCAAATTGTGCAAAGCCTTGAAGAAAGAAAAGCAAATGCCATTACTTTAGCAGCTAGCCAGCAATGCAGCAAACTAGAGCCTGGAACTCTGGCTTTGGAAGATAAGACGTTGGGAAGAGTCTACTTCATGATTATCTGAAAAATATTTTGCTCTAAAATGACCCCAGCCACCGCAGGATTTAAGTCCCTCACAATGCTTAGCGTATTTATCCTCAAAATCCCATGGTGGCCTGGGGAAGACCCACTTTCAGTGTTCCACAAGGGGTGAACAAAAGCATGGAGAGACACTTTGGGAGCACCTAAATGGTACAAGAGAGCACAATTTAGAGACCCTGAAGTCAGTGCCACCTGGAATTGGAAAGTGGGCGTGGGGCAGAGGTGGAAAGCAGTGTCATACTTATTATTTAGATCAGGTACATGGTAGGTTAGACTGGGTTTTGCACCGCTGTGGCTGTACCCCTTCTGGGCTTGGGTAGAGGACAGATCTTTTCTGCAGTCGAGTGTGGGAGGTTTGCTGTGACTTGTACCAGGGGCTGTGACAGAGACAGGAGCCGAGCACCGGTCATGGAGCCCAGGCCACATTTCCAATCCCTGGGCCACCCCTCCAGTCCCCAAACCACCCCTCCTCACCGCCTGCCTGAGCTGGGATTGCCATCTCGCTTGTGCCACGGTCGCTGGAGAATTGTCAAAGAGCTCACTCCCATGCGCTATACCTGTATCCCACTTACATATATGTTTTTAATCACCCACCAAAATGTCATGAGGCTATGCACCTGAGAATCTTATCTTGACTGTGTCTAACTTAGGTGTAGTTTTGCATTACTATGCACAAACTGGCAAAATGTATGAGATTTCCTATGCTCCTCCTTAGCTCATAACAACCTAAAATCCCTCAGGAAAAATGTGACGTGCTGTCAGTTCACACTAGTATTTCTTTGTTCATCCTTAGGAAAGTTCTTAGAAAAATCCAGGGCCAAATGTCTCCATCAGAGGCAGTAAAGACAAATGCTAAATATTAATGTATTTTCTAAAGTACCAACAGTGATCTTAATCTTACACAAGAGACAAAATGTAGACAGTTCCTCATTTCGAAGAGCTTTCAATCTAATTATCCAAAACAGAGGAGAGACAGGATGTATAAAGGAAAACCAGAGGAAGGAGTAGCTCAGAGGATTTTTGTTTCATTGGCTGATTGTTTTAATTGCATTTCCTTATAGAGTGTTTCATCTTTCATCGTACTCCGACTGGAAGAAGTCTCAGGCTCTGACAGATCTCTACTGGGAGTAAATTATATATCTGGGAACTGCCTGACTTTCTTTAACAAGTTCAGTCCTCAAGACAGGTTTGGAAATCAATCTCATGGTGTAATCCTGCAAACGCTTTTGCACTTCGGTATATTTTGCTCTCTGAACAGTCTCGCCATTCAAAAGCTACCCAGAAGTACCCATGCCAGGTCTGAGCTGAAAATAAAAGCAATCTGCTTTTACCTACTCAGTTCATAAAATATAATTTAATTCAATGTTCTTACTGCACCTAACAAGGCTGAGGGGCAATCTACAGGTACTGCTAGGAGTTGACAAAGAAGTAGAAAATTTCCCACAAAGGGGACAGCCAGCTCCATCGGCAATGGATCCACTGAAGCTCGGTCTCTTCCAGGTTGCGTTTCACAGCCCCTTCTCCGCTACCAAAGAGGAGCAACTCCACTACCAGCTTACGGAGCTGCCCGGGGGACCGTCAGCACGTCGCTGCTCTTTAGGACGCACAGCCACACGACCTGTCGTCCCCTTCCTCCCCATTGCTCTCTTCTGTAGAGAGACCTCTTTTCATGAAACATATAGGAAAAGCACTAATTTTGAGCCTGGCAGCTGCCTGCCAGACCTGGCTGAAGTTACCTGGAGTGTAGGTACAAGAAGTGGGTTTGGTTTTATCCAGAATGAGATGTTACTAATTCACTATAAAACTGTAGCATTCTTGGGGTGCCTGTGGATTTCAGGGAGGATTTCTTAGACTGCAGGATGGGTATTTACAGGCTGAAAAAATTGCCTGCCTGTGTTTGTGTGTATTATCTCTGTTTCTAGAGAAACTGAAGCCTGAGAGTAGACTCAAAAATGTTCATATGGATCTCAGTTAAACACGCCTGACTGCTCTTTATTTTTCAAGGATGAATTATTTGGATTGTCTGTGAACCCATCAGATTAACAGGCCAATATTATGAAATGCTCAATTTATCAGGAGTTTTCAATGAAAGCAAGATTAGACTCTAAGAGCAGGCAGGAGCTATCTGCGATAGGCGGTATAGATACCTTTGATGAAAACTGTGCAATATGTTGTTAACAGCACGCTGTCCTTTCTTGATGTACTCAAGCCTTACGATATTTCAAGTGAAATCATTAGGATCTTTACCATCAATTCAATAGTATCCAGGAATTTATTTTTTACTGTTATTTATGTAAATTAGTAGGAGAACACCTAATTTGTTTTCTCTGGCAGTGAACTAGACTTTAAGCAGTGACTTCACTAACTTTCCAAATCATGTAAACATTTTTTTTCTTGTAACTTGGTAAGAAAAATCAAGTATTTTTCTCCAATACTTGACTGAAAATTAATGAAAAGCATTCCTTTCACAGTTGGCCCCTCTTTCTCCAGTGACCATCCCAAAGCAGGAACAGAGCAGCAGGATTCTCCATAAAAGACCACTGACCTTTAGATGTTTCCGTTTGAGCAGCTCTGCACGGGGATGATATTCTTGGAGCCATCAAACCTATTGTTTGCAGTAGCTTTGATGTATGGGATTTGTGCTGTTTTCCACAAGAGAAGACCTTTGATTTTCCTTTTAAATGAAATTATGTCTTCTATTTATAGCCATTATACTATTAACACTTCAGGAATATTAATTTCTTCCACATGCATATGAATTCCAGTGTCAATAAAGGGATGAAAAGAGGAGCATATTAGACCAAAACATCAATCTGTAATGTACAGAGATGGTGGGGGCGAATTTTTCAGTATGGCCTCATCTGATTAACTCCAAGTTACTCCGTATAATACAACACAATCCACCTAAAGTTGCCATTTCACTACTGAAAAAAAAAAAATCCTGATAAATTATTTTGTTGATGTGTGTCCCCCCCTGCTTCTAGAGATGCTAGAGATAAGCAGGACAAGCTATTTTTGAAAAAAACCATACAGGAAAAGAAACTGACTTATGGGATTCATAAAGACTGTACTTTTTAAAGTATTGCTTTAATATATTTTATTTAACTTGAAGAAATCTTGCATATAACAATGAAAATTGCCACACAGTCAGTAAGACTGTCTTAATGGTTTTGTATTCTCCATGCTAGTTTGAAAAACACTTGCAGAAGCTACAGATATTGGGTAGCATGAATAATCAGAGCAGTTCATACCTTATAGATTCAACTGGAAATGACCTAGTTATTTGGTCATTTCTTTAACTGGTTGAAAAAGTAATCATTATAAAATACAGGAAATTCAACTATGGCTTTGAAAGACATATAAATCCAGATGCTATGTACATAACAACGTACTAACAAAATGCAGCTAGAGTATTTATGTTTTAGAGTGACCAAGAAGCAAGCATTAAGCTTGCAGGTGCAGGGAGGAGGCTGAATTATGGACATTTCTCTCTTCCTGGCCCAAATCCAACCATGATTTTGTGAGTGATTTGCAACCATGAATAGGTATTCACTTGAAAAACAAGCCATTAATAAGATGTCTGGATCTAATTAATTAATTCCAAGACCTAAAAAGAGATGGGGCTTGGATTCAGACTTAATAACATTTGTATCTTGAACAGCGTTCTTGTGAGGTTTCCATTTTGAAATAGCTTTCTTATTATCTAAGTTAAATGCCTGTATCTCAGAGTCCATTATTTTCAGTTATGTTTCTGCTAGCCAGACAGATGATTGTATCCCCACTAAGGGCAGCAAGGCGTTTCTGATACTTCGACACTGTTAGCAATCGCCTGTCCCTTGAAGTAAGGAGGGGGAAACACCTAAGAATTACTTCGGTCACAACCTCATCTCTTGATATCTGAACTTACCAGTTACAATTTAGAGCTTGCCTAGAGAGGTGGTGGAGTCCCCATCCCTGGAAGTGTTCAAAAAATGGGTAGAAGTGGCAATTTGGGACATGATTTAGTGGGCATGATGGTGTTGGGTTGATGATTGGAATGATGATCTTAGAGATCCTTTCCAATCTTAACGATTCCTAGTTTTTACTTTCATTATAAATGATCCAGCCACCAAGCCAGGAGGCATGGGGTTGCTACTCTACCCTGAATTGGTTTAGTGGTGGACTTGATAGCGTTAGGTTAATGGTTGGACTGGATGATCTTGAAGGTCTTTTCCAACCTAAACGATTCTATGATTCTATGATTCTATACCGAGAGCACTACCCAAAGGAGCTACTGAGCTCCCTTCTCAAGCCAACATCAACTGAACTCGCAATCTCAGCATGGCTCTGTGTGAGGATATTAGCCCAGGTTTGAAAGCAGTTTCAGCCTCATGACGGCTGTGCCCGACTGAGGCAGCATCTTCCACTGAAACTCTGGTCAAAAAACCCACCTTCTGCAGAGCCAGCTTGGTTGTCTTTACACCTGCAGTATAATTATAGCTGCTCTGCTGCAACATTATCTGTTCTTTATGAGAAAACTGTATTAGCAGGCATTCTTAGAGACATATTAATTCCATAAGTAGAAGATATATGTATGAGCAGGGCAAGGAAAACACTTCTGTTCATCTTTGTTGCCTAAATTATTCATTTATTTTGTTTTCTTCTGGTCTAAATAAAGATTGTCAGACAAGCACAGTTTGGTTTTATAGCTTTTGTATCTAATAAGGATGCATTTAGGAAATCACTCTGTACTGTTCCTTTGGAGGCATAACAGACAAATTATTGTTTTATTTAAAGAATATTTTCCAGTAATTTAGGAATATGTTCAGTTTTTCAAATGGAAAGAAAAAGAAGCATCATGTTTCCTTTTCACTTATATTTTTAAAAGCCATACCTATAATCCTTTTCAATTCCCGCAAGTCTGTTCTTGTCTTACTCCTCATGCACAGTAATACTCAGATCTAGAAATGGAGAAATATCAGCCTTGTGCAGTCTGACAGTCTCCTTGACATTTGGAGGCAGAATGTACGCTGACTATTTGTTTTTTATGATCCTAAATATGTTTTAGCTCCAGCAGCTTTGTCATTTTTAAATACATAAGAATCCCCTTGCACTTCAAAATGTTTGTTTGGGGAGAAAGGATGTTACGCTACAGAGACACAGCAGTTCACAGAAGACAGGAGGAGATCAAGGCAGCACTCTCGGTGAGTTAACACAGGATTTTCTCTATGCAAAGAACGGTTTTAGCACCAGGATTTTTTGTTGTTGCTGTTGGATCTGTAGCTTTGCATTTGGGTCTTGAACTTGCACCACTGAAGTCAGCAGAAGAACTATGATAAATATGAAGACCTCATCACCCTTCCAGTGTAACTGATTTCTTTAAGTCATGCATTTTCCATCAAAACATACACTGCCAGTATGATTTTCAGTAATGCAGGACATCCCACGTTATCACTGCATTCAGCAGCAACAATGGACATTGAAGTATCTTTAAAAATCATGCAGGTCAGTTTAGAGGGTCAAAACCACGTTGCACATCTTGGCCTTAGCGTGGCCAGAGTTTGCCCAAGTTGGGGGATGACAGTGGCCAGCAGGTACCTACAGCAACAGAGATGATCTGTCCGTGTTGGAAGGGAAGCCGGTATGGTGCCAGCATGATGTGCTCTAGGATGTTGTTTCTATTTCTAGTACCAGTTCTACAATACCAGTTCTAGTAACTAATACCAGTATCTTCTTTCTGTAAACCCATTTGCTTATCAGACTTGGCTATAGACTCGTCCCTTCTCTGGAGACCTCGTTCTCTGAGGACTCAACACCTATGTTGCCAACACAGTATGGTCAGCTATCTCATGGGAAAATCACGTGTCATAAAACAGAGTTACTTTTAGGTTTTGATTCCCTGTTTCTTTTTCTGGGCCATCCCAGAGTTGGTGCAGAATTTAGGCCTTGGTTAAGCATAACACTTAAACATATAGTTAAAGGAGAAGATGCAAATCTGTGAAGCTATGATATAGGTAAGTTAAGCACACAATCAAACATATATTTTGGAGGATGAAGACTTTAGCACTTATTAAACTATTAATACTATTCTTAGATCTTTATAGTCTTAGACAAAAATTCTTAATGAGGTCAATATAATAAATTTTACCCTAACAGCTAACTTTAGAGCTTTTCGTATGAAAAGCATGGCTGATAATTCATCTTCCAGCAGCAGAAATTTTAATGG